AGCATATAATTATAAGCATAATTGAGATTAATTAGCATAACATAGAGTAGGGTTGTCACAAGAAGGGAGGCAGGTGTATTGAGATAAAATAAAATAGGAATAGGAGCACTGTTTGGGTCCGTGGAGCTCACCATAGGTCTTGTTTCAATGATCTGAATGGTTCATTTTGTCAAACACTTTGTCTATTTCATCTACCAAAAAAAAAAAAAAAAGGCTAATCTGATAATTGTAACTTGTTCATTTATGGTTTTTGTCACTAAAAAAATATATGATTTATTTTTAAAAACACAATTGTTATCTATTTTTTGGTGAAAAAATGAACAAGTTACAATTATCGGATCGACCTAATTTTATTTATTTATTGGATGAAATACACGAAGTGTCTAACAAAATGAACTGTTTGGATCATCGAAATGGGGCCCGTTGTCACGAACTGGGCGCTTGTCATCCTCCCGAGAAGCCGGCTCCACGAGTGGTACTGTACACCCGTTGTATTAAGCCTAAGGACCAACCCAAGAGATACGATGGGGATCTACCCTACCTGTCTTACCACTCACAAACTAATACGCTTGCAAGGTGCTTGGTGTAGAAATCGCATCTCTAATGAGTCGATACGTGACATGCTACCACCGCCAATCCATGATGCCCTCGTTAGGGGGACATTACCTTGCCTGTCTTCATGCTTGTTCGTTCCTTTATCCATAGGAAACCGCCCCATGCGGACACCACCCTTGGCGCGGACCCCACAATATAGGTGCTTGGTGTAAGTCCCGTGTATCGTCCCCGTTAAAATGCCCCTAGGTTGGCTTTGATATCACTTTGTCACAGACTGGGTGCTTGTCATCCTCTCGAGAAGTCGGCTCCACGAGTGGTATTACATACCCTCGTGTATTAAGCCTAAGGACCAATCCAGGAGATGCGATAGAGATCTATCCTGCCTGCCTTGTCACTCACAAACTAATGCTCTTGCAAGGTGCTTGGTGTAGAACTCACATCCCTAATGAGTTGATACATGACACCGTGGAGAGCTCCATGGGCTAAACAACGCACTTCAATCCAAAATCTGAATTGAAAGGGATCCTCCTCCAATAAAATATTCAAACTAGTATAAGGTGTGAGCTGAGCAAATAATATATACTGAGAAAATAATAATGTATAAATAGAATCAATTTTAGTCTACCACCAGCTATCATTTATAATCAAACTGATTTTGCAATCTCATTTTACTCTCTAAAATATCATTTAGAATCATGAATATTTTATAATAAAAAAAAAACTAAATATCTAATAAACAAAAATATTCATTAAAAAAAAATGTGATAAATTTTCCCTAACGTCGACAACGCGGACGGTGTAACAGTCTGCGAGAGTTCTCTCGCGAAGGGCTCAGTTCAAAAGAATTCAAACCCTAACCCTAGTCTGGACAGCAAGGTCTCTCTCTCTCTCTGTATGTATATTTTATATATATATATATATGTATGTATGTATGTATGCTTGTTTGAAGCAATCGGCAATTTCCTCTGCACTCAGTGAAATAGACTCATTTCTAAGGCAAATGTAAGAAAAGAAAACCTCTTCTCAGGGGGGTTCCAACTTAGTAGTAATTCTGGATTTCTGTCTCTGTTTGATTCATCTTCTGTTGTTCAGTAATGTGTTTAGATAAAACTGTTTTTTTTAGTGGTATATTTTATACTCTTGTCTAGGACTGATTTGGACAATACATATGTACCCTTTTTGCTTATGTATCTCAATAACATGTCTATGCAATAAATTTAGAAATTTTAACTTTTTTTTTAAATTTTTTTTTAAGGAATTTCCATTAAACTTGAATAAAATTATTCATCAGTGTCGGAGCAATGATCTTGCAATGCTTTTCACTGCAGCTTGATGTATCAGCGAAGGTCCAACAGCCTTAGATTTATTTTTATACTACAAATTTCAAAACTACAACATTTTGGGGGTGAAAATTTGGGTAGTATAGGGTAAAAAGCATTGCAAACATGAGTATAGCAAAGGATCCTAATCTGGGTATAAGACCCCTCTAGCATCATCATAGGGTTTGATTATTAATAAATATTGGAATAGAAGAAATTTTTTGAAACTCTTCCTCCTATTGATCTCCTAAATTGGCTATAATATTGGCACACTTGATCGCCTCCCTATAGACACGGCTAATTTAGGGATACGATTATTGAGTTGATGACAAATGTGCGGCCGATATTATAGGGACTGATTGACAAATGCATAGTTGGTGCTATAGGAATTGGCGACTTATGATCTCTTGCACCATTTATAAGTATAAAACGAGCAAATCTTTAGTTATTCGCATGATCAATTTGCTCTTTGTTATGAGTTCTATAAACTTTCCTTCACATACCTCATGGTTAATGACTTTTAAATCCCTATTTTTAGGCAGTGATTGCAAAAGAAAACAAAAAAATGGATGATAATGTGTTGTCACCTTCTTCCAAAAAGCAAAAGCTTTCTGAAGAACATAATATTGGCGAGGGCATTGATATGATGAGCAGCTTGCCGGAAAATGTTCTCCATTACATCCTCTCATTCCTCACAACCAAAGAGGCCATACAAACGTCCATATTATCAAGAAGATGGCAATATTTATGGACCTCTATTTCCAACATTGATTTGAATGATATGTTTTCTTGGTCTAACAGAAAGAAAGATAAGGGCAAGAAGAAAGATTGTTATCCAATGTGTAGGAGTTCCTTCTTGGATTTTGTGGAAAGAGTTCTCCTTCTTCATGATGCTTCAGATATTAAAAGACTTAGTCTTAGGTTCACTGTGGTTGTGAATTCATCACGTCTTAATTCATGGATCTCTGCTGCTGTAAGGCATAATGTTGAAGAGCCTGATCTGTACCTACCTGTGCAAACCCGCTTTGTCTTGCCTTGTTGCCTTTTTACTTGTGATTCCCTAGTTGTATTGAAATTATTTATGGACTGTCCTTTCAAGCCTCCTATGGGCTGATTCGTTGTATTGAAATTATTTATGGACTGTCCTTTCAAGCCTCCTATGGGCTGATTCGTTGTATTGAAATTATTTATGGACTGTCCTTTCAAGCCTCCTATGGGCTGATTCGTTGTATTGAAATTATTTATGGACTGTCCTTTCAAGCCTCCTATGGGCTGATTCGTTGTATTGAAATTATTTATGGACTGTCCTTTCAAGCCTCCTATGGGCTGATTCGTTGTATTGAAATTATTTATGGACTGTCCTTTCAAGCCTCCTATGGGCTGATTCGTTGTATTGAAATTATTTATGGACTGTCCTTTCAAGCCTCCTATGGGCTGATTCGTTGTATTGAAATTATTTATGGACTGTCCTTTCAAGCCTCCTATGGGCTGATTCGTTGTATTGAAATTATTTATGGACTGTCCTTTCAAGCCTCCTATGGGCTGATTCGTTGTATTGAAATTATTTATGGACTGTCCTTTCAAGCCTCCTATGGGCTGATTCGTTGTATTGAAATTATTTATGGACTGTCCTTTCAAGCCTCCTATGGGCTGATTCGTTGTATTGAAATTATTTATGGACTGTCCTTTCAAGCCTCCTATGGGCTGATTCGTTGTATTGAAATTATTTATGGACTGTCCTTTCAAGCCTCCTATGGGCTGATTCGTTGTATTGAAATTATTTATGGACTGTCCTTTCAAGCCTCCTATGGGCTGATTCGTTGTATTGAAATTATTTATGGACTGTCCTTTCAAGCCTCCTATGGGCTGATTCGTTGTATTGAAATTATTTATGGACTGTCCTTTCAAGCCTCCTATGGGCTGATTCGTTGTATTGAAATTATTTATGGACTGTCCTTTCAAGCCTCCTATGGGCTGATTCGTTGTATTGAAATTATTTATGGACTGTCCTTTGAAAATAGTTGTTCAAAATAAATTCCACGATGTTGATTCGTTGTGTCCCTTTATGAAGAAGTTTTAGTCTAGCTGATCATGACATGCTTTACTGAAGAAGATATGTTCTGTTTTTGGATATGAAAGTGATGCAACCTATGTTCTATAAATAGTTCTGGCTTTTTCTTTGGAGAATGAAATATCAGTAAATCTGGCTTAAATAGATTAGTTAAATCTCCATTCACTCACAAGGAATTGACAATTAACAATGGTCAATAAAACAGAGAACATGCTGAAAATTTCTAAGACATGCAATAAACTTAATTCTAATGTTTTTAAAATGTCACAATTTACTTCAAGCAACATAACAATTGACATGTAACAACCACAAAATTAAAGAGAAGAAAAATTGCCATAACTCGAAGCAACACTAAATCTAAAATTATAGTTGAAATTATTCAGGCTTCTATTGCAAAATCATACAGTGATCGGATGTAAACAATAGGAAACACGATTAGAGAGATGGGACAAAAATGATTAGATAAGAAGATTGTAAGTGGGAAAACAATGATCAAGGGATAGAATGGAAGGGGGTGAGCAATGTAGAGGAAGTAGGAAACTCACCAAGATGTATAACAAGAGAAGATGGAAAAGAACAAGAGAACAGAGAGAGAGAGAAAAGAAGAGGGAGAATAGCTGCAGCTCTTGATTGCAACACAAGGCTTAGTTTGGTTTGTTTTGGTTTGGAAATTAATGCTAGGGAGAGATGTTATAGTCATTTATTTGGCTCCAGAGTAACTAAGGGAAGTAGGTTGTCTGGCATTATTGTTGAATGTGGTTCACAATGAAGGCTTCTTAGATTCCATGAGTTGGTGGCATATGTTAAAAGACATTTTCTCTTCTGGAGTTTTCTTCACAATATTTTAATTGGTGACTGCCATTTACTTAATTTTTGGCTCAAAATGAAGGGCTTCCACATTAATGGTCTTATCTATATGCTTTACAAGTTTCTGAGGAAAACGTGTAGCACAATGTACAAAAAACTTGTGACATGGAAGTGTGAGTGATTGACATCTCTGCATAGTTTGAGGCATTAAATAGAAACTTGCACCTGCGATACTTCATTTCCGTATCAAAACAGAATTAGGTTTGCTAGGGCATGTGCTGATTGAATTTGGTGTAATTGATAAGGTGGATAAATGGCAAGTGCAGTAAATGAGCACCGGCCGTGTAAGAGAATCCGGTGCCCAAGGGCTATAGTGAAAGCTAAAACTGAGATGCATTGGTGGTCGTACAAGGAATAACATGCGGCAGTGATGGTGAGAAGGAACATTGACACTGATGAATTGTCTAAAATAGAAAATGAAAAATCATTGAAAGATATGTCTGACTTTACTGTTTCAGAAAACCTACATAACAGACAGGCACAGTTCAGCATGCATGTGTATGTGTCTGAGTGGGTGAATGAGGGTGCGTGTTTGCTAGTCATGATGACGGTTCCACTTCCATTTTTTTTTTCTGTATTGTTTCCTTGTTTCCATCTGTTAGCTCCTTCAAGTCTTATGAACTTAAGTTACGGATGCACAGATGGTTGTCAGCCAGTGACTTGAAAAAGGTGGCCCTCTTTGGATGTCCTTCGCTCGGAAGGAAAAATGTCTTTTCTGCTAAAAGCTTGCGCAATTTTTTCAGAATTCAAGAAGACACCGTAAGTCAATTGTCTCATTGAAAAATTTCACCTCTCTAATCTTTCTGGTCTCATCTACATATGCTTATTGATTTATTTTGGAAGAGACATATCCAAACCAAACATGCCCATTATTTTTATTATTATTCTTTTGTCATTGTTACATGCTCACATTCAGGTATGCAGTAAATGCGTCTTGAAATCATCATGCAAGTTTGTGAATCAGAGTGTATGGAAAGGCAATAACAACAATTTGAATTTGGCTGTTGTAATGAGGGTCATACGTTTGTACGCCATGGAATCTGTTCCTCCACAGTTGGTAGTGCCTGACGAGATAAAGGCTTCTGTTAGTGTATTGCTGAAGGAGGTTCTGAACCTAAGCCAAACTCACGCATAAAGCTTTTTGACGGTTCCATATATAAAGTGGTCTTTCAGGTGCTTTAAATCTGGATTATTGTTCAGACTACTTTGTTCCTTGATAGGTTTGTTGGTTTATAGACAAGTAAACTGATTTGCTTTCATTCTCACAGTATTGTCAGTATTCTGATGCACAAATCTAGGAGATGAAGTGTGATGATCAATTTCTACGTTGTTAATAACTCATGCGGAGAACAATGCAAAAGATTGTTGTGAGTTACATTACATCTATGAATGATATTCGAGGGGTTGGTCATTTTGCTTGCCAAAAATATGTGAAAAGGGGCTCCTCTGTTGGATTGTGGAAGTGTCATCTTGGATTGGCTGGTTAGTGAACTTCATAAATGCTTTAGTTATTTATGTCTTATCAAAAAAAAATTGGGCATTCAACAATTGAGTAGAGCTTTTGAGATGTATATTTCAACTTATTTCTTCATTATATATGAATGGCCATTTTATCCATTTTAAATGTATAATGTTGTCAATGCATACAATAAAATCTGAAGTATTGGGTACTAAAGTTAAATTTCATGATTGAAGATCAGAGTTGGTTTCTCTTTTTATCCCTCTTTTTCCTTTTTAAATCCCCAATGATATTATCCCTGAAGTATTGAGTAAATAAATACTGAGAAAATAATCTTTCGTACATACAATGTAGTTGGGTCCCTCATTTTGATGATTTTGGTTCTGGTCTTCCATGTTATTGGGCCTATGATTATGTCCAAAATGATGTAAATTACAATGCAATGTAGCTATGATGTACTTTTTAAAAATGTGTGATATTAAAATTTACCATGATGCAATTGATGCTAATTTTGCCTCCCTAGGTTATTGAAAAGAATCAAAAAGAAAAAAACTTCACGATTAGATTGTTAAATTGTTAAATTTTTAAGGGAAAAATCATACGGCGGTGTTGTAGATTAGTTCATCAATTTTAATTAATTTACTCTATTTAATAATGTCCCTTACCAATTGGACTGAAATCAATGACAAAGTGGTCATTTTGAAAGGAAATTAATTGTTTCAAATTAGACATCAACCTTTTGATCAATCCAAGGGGAGTAAATACACTATTTAGCTTTTGATTTCTATCTAATTCCTTAAAACATTATCAATTAAACTAAATTAATATAATATAAAAATTTTAAAGATAAAATCGATAAAATTAAAATTATGATTAAATTGACAAGAAACAAACTATAAGGTCACAAGTATGAGCTGGCTGAATACTTCAATTCTGCTCATTATGAGCAAGTGCTGGAGAGCTTGCACATGGCATTCTGGTGGCAAACATAGGATCATTTGCACAAAAACTCCTTAAATCATTGAAAAGTATTATTTTGACTCTTTAATTATAAAAATATATAAATAGATCCTTTAAATTATTGAAAAATATTACTTTGTCTCCTAAATTATAAAAACATACAAATTGACCCTTTAAACTATTGACATCTCTTCCATTAGGGGGTTCAAACTGGTACGTTTTAGTAGTTTAGGGGGTTAAAGTGATACTTCTCAACAGTTTATGGGGTCCATATGTACGCTTTTATAGTTTAGGGGGTCAAAGTGATACTTTTCAATAGTTTATGGGGTTTTCATGTAAATAACCCTTATAATAAAGAATGTATAGTGCCTTGGGATAATATAATATAACAAATACAGCATAATAAAATTGAAGAAGCTGCTGCAGCAGGAGGCTGACGAGGTTATAATTTTGTTTTGTTTAATTCTATTTCCCCAGCTTTTTAACTAGGCAGAAAGTGGAATTGACTCCTTAGACATAAAGGTCAACTAGTTCCACATGACTCACAACTCACCGAGGCTAGTGGCGAGATTCGTATGTAACTTATTTTGTGTTTACTTACTTTTTTCATAGATATCAA